ATTTATTAAACATTATGTAATAATTTCATATTTAAAGTACTTTCAGGAGTTTGAATTCTGAATATGATTGGACTTCTCCTTTAAATACTTGGGCATGCTTCGGTGGCACAGTAGTTAGCGCGCACGACCCATGTACAGAGGCCTTAGTCCTTGACGTGGCCGACCTGGGTTAGAATCTGAACTGTGGTCCTTTGTTGCAGGTCTCTCCCCGTCCTCCCGTACTCCCTTTTTCTGTCGGCCCACTGTTCAAAAACACAAGCCACTGGGGCTGGAAAAACCTAAAAACAAAAAAGTTAAATGCTAATTCTATTGGCAAATCATCTTATCTACCTACTCAAATTCATGTAAATCCACTTATTTGAAGGAATTTTTACTTATTTCTTGATCATTTTTTGCAGTGCAAGTTAGTATCATTCTGACTTATCACAGTTAATACAAACTTTTAACAGCAAAATGCATTCATTCTAAATCTTACGAATGTTAAACTGTTTTAAGTAAAAGCAATTAGGTTGAGCACCAGATAATAATATTAAGAGGCCAGTAGGTTAGAGGGAGGTTATTAACCCGTTTGAAGGCCAAGTTAATTTTTTTACATCAGTGTTTTTCAAACAGTGAGCCTGAAGTAAGATGACTAAAGTGTTTATTTGTGCAATATTATTTTGGATAAAGTGAAGGTAGACCAGAGAGGTCTGACTGAGTCCAGCGTGAAAAAAATACACATATCAGCCAAACACAGCTGACCAGGGTTGCATCAAGATTTATAACCTGTTGCTAAACGTCAGGTTCCAGATCATCACGGTTTGGAGGAGAGTTTTGGGAAGAGCTGCTAGGACTAAATATCCTTGCTTTGACATACTTGAGGCACTTCAGAAGAGGCTGGAAGGACCAAGACACAGATTCATAGGGAGACAAATCCTACAGGCATTTGCACAGTTAAAGAGAAACTTTGATTTTCTTTTAAATGGTTCTGAAGAAAACTGAACCTTGAGGTGGTGAGGGTGGTGCTGAAATTGATGTTAGGTTTTCTGTGAACATTTTAACATCCAATAACGTAAACCATTTCCATTTTTTAACATTTCAAACACTTTTTACTGATTCAGTTTCCAGAGGAAAACAGGTGTATGAGGCGAACAACTGCACATGCATTTCTGTACAAATTACGTAGTCATCGTCATTTTCCAATTTTCTGAACATAGACACTTATCTGACGTCAAACTGCCACAGTATGGCTTACGTCAGCATGGATGTGTGCGAGGTAGGGTGGGGTGGGGGTCAACCGTCTCTTGACCCAGATGACTTGGTAAATTATAGACCTATATCCAATCTTCCTTTGTTATCTAAAATTCTTGAGAAAGTACAAGTTTGAGATTACTTACACCATAATGACTTTTTGAAGATTTTCAGTCTAGCTTTAGAGCTCATCACAGCACTGAAACAGCTCTGGTATCTAATGATATTCTCATGGCCTCAGATAATGTACTTGTGTCTGTGCTCGCCCTGTTGGATCTCAGTGCTGCATTTGATACAGTTGACAATAATATTCTTTTAGAAAGACCTGAGTATTTTGTTGGAGGTACAGCACTAGACTGGTTTAAATCTTATCTGTCTGATCGAATACAGTTTGTTCATGTTAATGACCGATCTTCCACATGCTCAAAGGTTACCTGTGGAGTACCAC